CTTGTCTGTTATGATTCGTATTTGTTTTGGTCACACGCTCGGCAACATTTGCTTTATTTGTAAATATTTTAATTTGTTATTTTCATTGTAGATTTTATTCGTGCAGGCTTGTTTTTAGGATTAGAATGTAGCGTAAAAATAATCGTTTTAAATTGTCTCGCGTCTAGAATAAAGATAGGTCCCGTTTCTCCTCCCGCTGCAAAGAAGGCGAAAACATTAGCAGCATGACAGTTGCAGGAAAACGATGGCGGTTTTGTGATTGTTCGTTATTGTCCATGATTGGGAGTACAAGAGAGAAAGTTACGAACCACGGTCCCTTTTAGTGGAAACGAGAAGTTGGAGTGCCGTTTTCGTGGCGTGTGTCCGCTGGAGGGATAATTTCCAGCATCTTCGCGTGGAAGTGACGTCGTTTCACCGAAAAGTGCCGTGGTTCGTGAGCTGCATAAGCGAAGGGTTTCGGATCGCCACCAGGGGAAGCTAAGCATAAAGGATTCTTTCATTTCCCGGCTAACCACCAAGGATCCCCGAACACCCACCGTCCTCACTGCGGTGGCTCAGCCAGTAGTGCCAGTCTCGCCACTGCAGTTAAGAGCCAAGAAGAGACGAAGCAGGCCGAACCGAAGGAGTGTTCGCCTAAGTAGTCCACTGCGGTGACTACCGGGCCATCTACGGTGAGTAGTTGGTTCGGTGATTCGTCACCATCGTCGCCGGGGAGGTTCCGATAAAAGAGCGTCGTTCATTCCCCCCCAAGCTAAACGCCAAGGATCGCTGCTAGGCAGCTAGAAGTGTAGAAGGAGACGCACAGACCGTGTCTGGAGCCAACGTGATGTGAACAAGCAGCAAGCGCCGCCGCTATCCACTATGGGGCATTTTCATACAACCAGGCGGTCAAAAATATTTCTATTATTTTTTCACAATTTCTGCTATTATTCTTGCTTTGTTTCATCAATATAAGGTGTGCGTTATCACTTTTCAACATTTTCACGACCGACTTTTGAAAAGGGCCTAACTTTTGATTAATTAAAATTTAATTTTTACGATTTTATAACGGTTACAGTTTCAAGCTTGTTTTCAAAGAATAAAATCTATTGAACAAAGACAACCTACCATGGTTTTATTGGGGAAAACACCCTAAAAAATAAAAAAAAACCTTTTTTTTTTAAATATGTTTATTTTTTTCAACAAATCTTCTGTAAAAAAATACAAAAAGCCATGATACAATAATCGAAATCAAATATGTTTCAACGAATTTCTTTTTATTCCTCTGTTACAATATCATCATGAACAAATTCTTCTTCAATTTCATCGACTGCTTTCATAAGTTCCTCCAAGGCATTGAAGTTATTAGTATCGACTACTGAATCACTTACAGAATTTTCAAATATCATGAAACTTTTCACGATGTCGGGATAATCCAGGGATACTCTTTTCTGTCGTCTTTTTGCCATCCAAATGGAACTGATCAGTGGGTCCGATTCATTAATGGCACGAATAAAGACATCATGTAAATTTTCTACTCTTGATCGTTTTCTTGCATGATGGGTTCGATATTTTTTCAATTGTTTATGTTGACTTTCTGCTGCCTCTTCCGCTAATGAACCAAGTGGTGCTGGTGAATGTATGATTATTTCTCCGGCATGAGCGAGAACTTTATGCACGGTTGCAGGAATTTTGTACCAATCATACAATTTAAGATAGAGCGTATATGTTTCCTTGCAATATGTATCAAATTTTTCCGGGTTTATTGGCTCTTGGCAGTTAATAGCAATTAATATATTCCGGAATCTGAAAATTAACTCTTCATCAATGTTCAGCACGGAGCTTAAAAGCTTGGGATTTCCAAATGCTCTTCGACAAACGTTTCCTGTAGTACTGGTACCTGCTCCACCCGATCGTGGTTGATCTACTCTTACTCCAAATTTTTCGTAAAGCTGTGTCGTCACATGTTTTTTTCTTTGTTTAGTTCTTTGAACGGTTTCGTTACCTTCCATTTTTGATATTCATTCTGTATGCAATATGCAAAAGGCATTCGAAAAATCGTATCCAAGCATGAAGTGGAGATATGCCGTAATGCAAGGCTTCTTCGTTTGATATAAATCCTTCCTCGAATTTCTCTGCATCATTCATTACATTTGGTGTTGCCCCACATATTGGACAATTCTGCATCGACGAATTTCCAGTGATATAAGTTAAGACTTTTCCGTCTATCATACTGAGGACAAAATCAAAATCAACCAGTATAAACTTGTCGTTTGAGAGTTCAATTTTCACTGGCGTTAGTTCACTCATTTCTTTTTCTACATCCTGTTTTGTAGCCAGAATAACTTCTTTACTCTCTTTAATGAATTCAAGGATGAATGGCCTACAAAATCGAATACTTTGAGGCATGGGATTAAACCACATAATTTCCTTTCGATCATTGTACATGAACAACTGAATTGGTGTTAAAGTGGACGAAAATACATCTGAATCGTCCTGACATCCTTCTGGTAGCACTTGATGATATTGCGAATATCCAGTTGATCCGTCCATACCCCAGCTACATAGAAGAACCAGTTCCGTAGGAACTAGATCGTTGCTATCCATATACTCGTTGAGCTCTGCATCAATTATTTGGACGATTCGTTTCACTGTATTTTCCATCCGCGCCTGGAGTTTCACTCTTATTTTCAATGCACTTTCTTCGATGAATTCACTAGGAGGGGCGCATATTTTTGACGTTGGATAACGTCTTTCGGCAATATACGGGGGTACAAAATTGAAAACAGTCATTTTGGATGCGTTACGAAAAATTAAAAGATTTTGAACGATAATAACTCAACCGTCTCTCGATAGATTTACGAGATAATGGCATCAATCGATTGGAAATATTTCTAGCATTTGAATGTTTCAAAACTATTGATTTCATAGTGTAAACTATTGAAAAATGGTTAAAAGTAAACCATTGTCTAAAGATGGTGAAAATCGATTGATTTTTTTTTATATTCTTATACTTTCTCCAACCGAGACATCAGATGCGAGTATCTGACACCTCTGATATTTTCTGTTTTACTGTATAAGCGTCCAACAAGGTCGCCCGTTCTATCATTGTCTATCCGATCGTCGACCCAGCAGCAGAGCAGCAGAGCAGCAGTACCAGAGCAGCGGAAGCAGAGGGGGCGAAAGGGCAACTACGTCGAGTGCGTTGGTGCCAGTGCTCCGGTAACCTGGGCCGCCGTCATGGAATGCCCAGCTGCTGCAGTTCTCAGTCGGTCGTATTCACCGTCTGCTCCGCAAGGGCAACTACGCCGAGCGCGTTGGAAAAATGGCCCTTTTCATGGCCACAAAATTATCAAGAAAGAGTTTAACGTACGTATGCAAGTATCTGACACCTCTGATATTTTCTGTTCTACTATATAAGCGTCCAACAAGGTCGCCCGTTCCATCATTGTCAACAACATCAGCCCAACAAAACGGCCCTTTTCAGGGCCACCAAACTTTCGCAAAAGAGTTATTAAGGAATATTCCTAAAATATAATATACAGAATTAAGTACAACACATAACAGACGTTATCCAACGACAACCATGCGGTCGTATCTAGTATACAACCCTTCCAACTTTTTTTTTCACTGCTTACAAAAGCATTTACGCCCAAATCTCAGATCACTCCGGAATTGTTATGATATATAATATAAGTGTTTTTACATTGTGCCTGCTTTGGCAATTCAGTATATAAAATAGGTTTTCTAAACCTGCATGTCAGTTTAATAATTGATATCTTAAAACTAAAAACTTGAACTAAATCCCTCGGGCTGTCATGACGACAGAAATTTGAAACCCTGGTCATAAAGAAATGTATAAATACAGCCCATTTGGTTCACTACGTTCCAAGCACGATGATTTTAGCAAAGCGGGTATAGATGCGACTGTTCTAATACAGCTTTGATTCGTTCGTGCGTGCGCTTTTGCCAATACACTTCGAATTCAGATCTGAACGTACGGTAGCAAGCGGTAGTAAAGCACACAAAGCAACAGTCAATTCAGGTATAAACCAAATGTCGCGAAAAGGCTGTACTATTTGGAAGCCTGCACCAGACTATGAATTTAGTGACTATGGCGAGTTATACATGTTATAAGGTTATCTTTATTTGTTTTTCTGTAATGAAAATTATTATCACATCACCGACAAACCGACATGAAACTTAAACTTAACATTTGATTTTCGAGCGATAACGGCCGATTCAAATGTGCAGCGATCCCATCTGTCAAAACCATAAAACATATTTATCTAGATAAAAATAACTTGTCGAGAACAGACTGGACACGAACCAACTAATAAATTATACATGCGTTTTCGTGGCGTAGATAAACGTTTTTCAACACAGAGAAAAATGTCATTAGTGTGCTTTGAGCAGAAATTACAAGGTAATTTCTATGGTCATTCATGCCAGGGTTTTGCCAGGTTGCCATGTTGCCATGTTGTAACTCTGCAACCTTAAACGCTGTCCAGACAGGAGAGTTATAACATGTTATAACGGTTGTCAAATAATTGCAACACAGAAACCACTATCAAGATAGCGCTATAGCATGTTATAACTCTGTAGTCTGAACGTACTATTAGCAAGGCATAAGGTTGAGCACCACTGTTCTGCATCAGCCACCGCCATCTGAGATATAAATGTAGCAACAACCGTTCCCAATCGCTGGAAATGACCAATGGTGGCACCGGTGGTTCAGTGGTAATCATGTCTGCCTCTCATCCCAGTAGGTTTGGGTTCATTCCCAGCCGAGGATGTTGGGATTTTTCGAGGTATTATTTTTAAAGGTCAAAATCAAGACTCATGGTGTTAAGTCGCCTCCCTTGCAGTGACGGACGGAACATAACTAGGGAAAAGTTATAATCAACATAAAGTTCATTCGATTCATGACAAGTAACCTTGTGTTAGTGATGGCGTTGTGTTATTGATTTCATTCATTCTACATTTTGACAACTAGCCAACGTATCAGCAAAACATAAGGAAGGGTCACAGCAGAAGAAGCAGAAGATCCCACATCAGAAACATTCCCTATCTTCTGCTCATTATTCCAACGAGAAGTTGAGTTTAGGTCAGTCAGTTCGAGAATTCTAATCGGAACTAACAGCTTCTAAGTTCCATCTATTTCACAAAATGGAGCTCTGATATAAACTTGTGCCACGATATTGTGAGTCATTATCAATCAGTGTTGGATGCATTCGTGGACTATCTGATACTTGTTCTTTGTTCTTGTGCCATTCTCAGTAAGTTTAGATTTTTCATCAACCACCGCTTCTGGAACGGAGAAGAAGTGCACCGTAAGGAGGTAGTGTTCATGCCATTCTTCCGCACAAGTAAGAGAATTATGAGCACCAGCTACCCAGATGCACCCCTCGGGATTCGACTTGTTTCTGCTTTATGCGGAAAAATCTGTCCTCGATGGCAGATCAATCGATTGCTCTGGTGAGTAATAGCTATTTTTTCAATAACGATAACATAATTATATAGCTAGCATTACTGATTGGGAAAGACGCAGTGCGATTTTTTTTTCATAGCTGATAACACAGCGGCTGTTAGAAAGCAAGCATATACGGACAAATGATGCTAGATGATTGCCTTGACATTGAACTGTTTGTCCAATACAACTCGGTCTGTAGTGTTATTTAATAAGAATTGATTTTGCTGATACATAAAACGTTCCGTAACTGGAAGGAGGGAATTTTTTGATAAATTTCACTCAATTATGTTTTTGCCGTTTTAAAGTTATTCATATACACAGTACCTATCCCCTGAAATAAACAGTATGGCCGAGTTATCAAATATTGATTTGATAATCCGAACGTCTAATCCATACTAAAAATTCAAAACAAAAAGTTCACAGCATAAATCTGAAAACTTTTATTTTGAATTTCTACGGTCTAACAAGATCCGTAAAATGTTCCCAAGAAGCCCAACAACTAACCGCAAATATCTTCAACTTATTCAAAATATCATCGACAGAATTTTTAATATTTACTAAATCTAATACATCGTCGGTCTCATGCAATACTGTCACTCAAAATATTTTCTTCAAAGGGAAGTTTGTTCTACGAACGTCACTTTGTTGCAAAATGTAGGCCTGAATTCTTGGTTTTGTAGCGACCAAATTTTCAATTAATTGAATTCAGGATGTCAGATAAGGTTATAACTATCGATTGAAATCAAATGCTAAGTATATTTAGCATTTTACTATGCCTGAACTGCTTCTTCTGAACAATTTTTATTTTGGAGTTTACATCACATTGCTGTCACACGATAGACCAGGGCCTCTAGTTGACACTAAACTCCTTAGAGCACGGCGACGACGAGGAACATTAGCATGCAGTATTTCGTATAATTTATAGTAAAAGAGGAGTACGTTGGCATCAACAGAGTCACTTTGAAGATAATTTTACTAATCTACCGACGAAAGTTATACATTAAGAGAGACGGAATCGTTGAGATCGAAACAGGGGTGGGATGTGGCTGTCAAATACGAACAATCGTCGCCTACCTCGTATAACTGGTTCCAAACGTAAACAAGTCATAAGAAACCTACATGGTTTGTTTACGTTTGGAACCAATTTCATATAAGAATGATCAGTCGGCTGATTTGACAGCACTTCCCGCTCCAGGATCGAAACCGATGATTTCGGATTGGGAATCAACTTGGTCGTGTATGCATTCATCGGTGTCTGCTTGTAGAACAAATGATACGTGATGAGTATCGATGTTCAACAGTGGAAGCGGAGGTTGTAAAATTTCAAAATCGTCCGGTGAATCCACAAACACCAAATCGAGCAGCCTAACATTGCAGTTTGTAATGGAGATCATTTGTAGCAGATCACAAGTGTCCATCGCTGTAAGTATGAGCTCATGTTCACTGGAGGAATTTGATGGCAGGTAGCCGTTAACGTCTTCGTAAAAGTTGCAATACAGATGAGGAAGATTTACAATGATCGAACAGCATTCGGTCGGAGGTAGATACCGAAGATGTATATGGATCAATGTGGAAGCTTCAAGCGTACGAAAACTTGTTTGAGTTTTCCAATGATATCGCAGACTAGTTTTACTCAGTGTGGCAACGACCTGAAAAAGCCTGCAAACCTAGAATTATCAGGGAATATCAAAAGACCTGAAAATCCTGCAATCAACAGGGAATTGTGCCATCAATCAGAGATTTTTTGTAAAGTAGGTTCAATGAAATGGTTGAATCTGCTCAAATATTTTTTTATTTGGTGACTGACTATATTTTTATGAAGTATTGAAAGCTACAAACTTTTTTGACGTAGGACGTCTTTCGGCAACATATTGGGGGTGCAATTAAAAAAAAAAACAAAATCAACCACGTCTTCCTTCGGAAGGGAAGTAAAGCCGTCGGTCCCGGCCCATGTGTCTTGAAAGCAGGTGCGGAAGCTGCCTCCCTGCACATTCGATTGCCGTCAATGGATGGCAATCGATGTCCGTCAGTGATTGACACTATATTGCGGAACAGAGACCAACTTTAAATAAAGGAATTAAGACCACGTTGCGAAAAGTGGTCAGGTGTTGACCACTTATTACTGTTAATAGCGGATGGATTTTAATTCTAAATAGAGTTCTCCAGATGCACAAAAGTGTGCGTGAGACCGCGCGCTACCTTTTTAAGTAGTTGTGATATCGCGATACCTTTTTGTTTCTTCTTCTTCTTCGTTTTTACGTATGGATGTTGGATTTTAGTGTTCGTGAGATTGCGCTTGGAGATCTCTATAAGCCAATCGATTGGACATTTCTCTACAAATGTGTGTGTGTGGTGTGGATAAAGTCTATCTCCCACTGACCGACAGTGCTTTTATGGAAGAAACCTGTCAGCACCTATTTGTTGATAAAACATGTTTAACCGATAGATGCAAACATATTTAGCCCTGCAGATGAAATGTGATAGCTGATTTCAAGAATGCCTGTTCATAAGCGATATCATTGGTATTCAGAACCATGTGAACTCCATCGGTGCTATTGTTTCCAATTTGGAATTCAATGACTATGCTCTGCAGCTCGGAGATTATAACCGGCCTTTGCTTCGGTGGAGTAAGTCGTACGATGGGTCTTTCCAGGTTGATCCTCAATCGGTTCTATCGGCTTCTAGTTCAACGCTTATCGACGGTTTCGCTTTACATGGCCTCACGCAGATCGATGGTGTATTGAATAGGAACGCTCGCTTTCGAGACCTTGTTCTGTCTAACGAAGCTGCAACTCTGGCATGCACCGTTTCGGAAGCCATAGAACCTCTGATCTTTCTTGATGCAGACCACCCTGCTTTAGACGTCCTGATGAACCTCCCAGCGCCAATCGTTTTTGAGGATTGTTCGGAAAATAATCGTACACTGGATTTCCGTCGAGCCGACTATGTTGCGATTAGTGCTGCTATTTCCGCTATCGATTGGCGACCATTAGAATTAGCTGGATGTGTTGACGATGCCGTTGAATATTTCAGTCAAATGATTTGGGATATCATGGCTAAATTTGTACCTATTGCCCGCCTCGCACCAAAGCCCCCGTGGTCTAACGGTCACTTGCGGCGACTGAAATGGTATAGGGCTAAATCGCTACGAAGATACTGCCAACATCGTTCGTACATTACGAAGTAGGAGTTCAACCGCACAAGTATCGACTAAAGGAAATGCAACAGACTCCTGTATCGATGATATGTCTTCCGTACGCAATCATCTCTTCGCAGAAATCCAAAGCGTGTCTGCTCGTTTGTAAACTCTAAATAGAACGAAGTCGGTTTGTCATTGTCAGTTCATCTCGGTGAGCAAACCGCTGAATCTGAACCAGAGAAATGCCGCCTTTTTGCTCAACATTTCATGAGTTCGTTCAATGAATCTTCAGCCTCACCAAATCAAGTCACGATTGCTATAAGCGATTCTTGAACAGATGCATTTAAGTTCCGTCCGTTTCACATCAGTGAACATACCGTCAATCTAGCTCTTCAAAGTTGGAAACTCTCGTTTGCTCGTATATGTGGGGGACGGGGGGTCCACAAGAAAGGTGATAAAAGGAAAGTCCAGAATTACAGCGGAATCACATCACTATGTTGCTGCTAGAAAGTATTCGAGATCATCATCAATGAGGCGCTCTTCAGCTCTCTTGTAAAAATTACATCTCCACGGCTCAGCATGGATTCTACCCAAAACGGTCAGTTTCAACCAATTTGACCGAATTCGTGTCGCTCTGCGTTCGGACTCTGGCGGACAAATCGACGCGGTTTACACAGATCTCAAGGCTGCATTTGACCGAGCAGACCTCAACATTCTTTTGAGCAAGCTTGAGAAACTCGGAGTGTCTGTATCCTTCATCTCGTGGCTCATATCTTACCTTACGAACGTTCGCTTTTCGTTAAGATTGGAGCTTCTTGTTCTGAAGTGTTCACGAACGTTTTCGGCGTTCCCCAAGGAAGTAATCTTCTGTTTTCGCTTTTCGTCAACGAGCTTTCGTGTCTTCTGCCACCTGGATGCCGGCTATTCTACGCTGACGATGTCAAAATGTATATGGTTATCAATTGCATCGCTGATTGTGGATCGTATGCAGAGTTGGTGCTTCCGTAATTTCTTGACGCTCAGCACCGTGATATCATTTCACGATTTCACCACAAACAAAACCCGATAATATTTGATTATTCCATTTCTGGGCAACCATTAGAGATGATTAGCCAGGTCAAAGATTTGGGAGCAACACTCGACATTTACCGCACTACCATGACATCCTGACTAAAGCTAACAGGCAGCTTGGCTTTATGTTCAAAATATCTGAAGACTTTCGCGATCCGCTGAGCCCGCGGGCGCTGTATTGTTCGTTAGTACGTTCAATCTTAGAGTATAGTGTGCTGTCGTCTGGTTCCCATACCAAGCATGCTGGATAGCCATATTTGAGAGTGTACAGAGAAAGTTTGTTCGCTACGCGCTTCGTCATCTGCCTTGGCGTGACACGGCTAACTTGCCGTCTTACGTGAATCGCTGTCGTCTGCTTGGAACGGACACCTTGGAACAAAGAAGAAGTAACGCTCAAGCTGTGTTTGCTGCTTAGATCAGCGAGATTGATTCCCCCGAATTACTTCGACGTATATGCATTGTTTGACTTTAATGTGCCGTTAACTGTTTTTATTAGAAGACTGTCCTGAATTAGAACGTGTTCTGTTTTTGATTTAATTATACTTTTTTAATTCATTAAAACAACCATGTGTCAGATGAATCATTGGAACAATAAACAAATACACGTAAACTTAGCTGAGCGTTCCAAAGCGTTAGTTAGAACAAACGGCACCTCATACCACGGAACAGGAAGGATTTGATTCTATATTCAGCTCATATCACTTTTCACTGCGACAAACACTAGGGACACGTGGGATTTGATAATTATAACTTTTTAATACCACTTCAGTAATTCAATTTATCTTTTTCTGGATG